CACACCTCCCACCAGGTCCCACCTCCAGTATTGGAGATTACATTTCAACATGAGACTTGGGAGGGACATTCAAATTATATCACCTACTGTGCATGTCAGAAAATAACACACATACCCCATAAAAGTGTACAAATATTTTATAACAATAAAGTTTTTTAAAGGAGTGCTCCAAGATAATGTTCTCAATGCAAAAAAAAAAAGTATGTGAAGTGATTGATATGTTAATTAGCTCGATTTAATCATTCCACAATACATACATATATCAAAACATCACAGTGTATTCCATAAGGACATACAACTATTGCCAATTAAAAATAAAATTTTAAAAACTGCAAAACCAAAAGAATGGATGGGCTGGAGGAGGAAGGAGGCTTGGAGACCAGGAGGGGGCTTCATGGCTCTGGTTAACTTGGAGTGTGACTTGGCTTGGGGTAGAGCAATGGCAGTGATGGCGGGGGACAGAATTGAGAGCCACCTAGATGGACTGCCAGGTGAGTCCCTGGCTGGATGTGGGGGTGCGGGAGGAGTTGAGGGTGTCCCCTGAGCCTCTGCCATGAGGAAGTGGGTGAATAGTGCTGACACTCCAAGATGGGAAAGTCTGGAAGAAGGCTAGGCTTCTGGGAGGAAAGGAGGAGAGTGATTTTGGTTGGGTTGGGTTTGAGAGCAATGTGGAATATCTAGTTGAGTTTCTAAGACTGGAGGTAGGCAGAAGGCTCTGGAGTCAGTCTTTCGCCCAAGACCTGCATTTCTTCTGGAATTCTTTGTTGTCCACCTGGTTGTGCAGGCCAGATTAAATGAGACCATGTGGACCAAGGGCCTGATTAGAGACTTGGCCACACAGAGTGGCTGCACCTGCTCTGCAGCTCCTGAGCCACTCCCTCCCTCTAATGTTTCTCTTTGGTCCCTGCTCACTTTCCACCTGAGTGCCCCTCCCTTCCCACCTTCACTTCTTTCAGGTATCTTTGCTTCTGCCTGCTATGTACATGTCTGTTCAGTCCCCAGCCTTCTCCACTCCTGTGGTGGGAGGTTCCCTCTTTGTCCTGCTGATTCCCTGCCTCACAGTCTATGAGATCTCAGACCCATAGGTATCCCCATCTGTTTATTCCCCAGGATCTCACACTCAACATGGGAGTAGGGAAGAGCAGGGGAGGAAGGGCCATCACTCTTCCTGCAGAGCTGCGTCTCCTCTAGCATCCCTGTCTCCGCTCTCTCCTTCACCATCCATTTTCTGTTGGAGACCTCACCCTCTCATTCCTCCACAGCCTGCCTCCTAAATCGCTTCCTGCTGCTTCTCTTTCCTTCCTCCCTAGTTGCGGCTTTGATAATGGGAACAACCTCTTCTTCGTTCTCTGTCTCTGGTCTCCCCTCCGGCCACCTTCCTCGGACACCAAATCATATCATTCATCCATTACTACAGGACCAAATCATCTTTCTAAAATAGGTCTGGACTTGTACTTCTTGCTGAAAACCCTCTTCTCCACACCTACCATGACTCCCCTGCACCTGCAGAGGAAAGTCCAAACACCTCGGCAGCCCCATCAAGGCCTTCACCCAAGCAGCGTGCCCTTCCAGGCCTTCTTGCCTCTGAGGGCGTTTGCTCTGCCTGGAACCCCTCTATTTCTTCCCTTCCAGCATACTCCTATACCTTTTTGAAGGTTCGGGGTAAAAGGCCCTTCCTTCACCATGATCCCTTTCCCCAGTACAGTCGAGACTCAGCCATTGTGCCCAGGGCTGAAGACAGTTCCACCTGGTGTAGTGAGTGCCAGTGACAGGACTGTCGGGAACCAGTGGGTCCAGTGCTTGCTGGGAACAACATTGACAAATCTCCCGTTTGTTGGCTGGCTCCTGTGGCTTATCTCCCTGGTAATGTTCACGGTGAATTTATTTACATCAGAAGGAGACAAACTCTGCCTCAGATGTCAGACATCATAGCCTCCTGCCAGAGAGATACTCAAGGCAGAAATACTGTGCAACTTGATAAAACAAATCAACAGCACCACTAAACTGGATTTAAAGCCAAGCAAGGCCAATCTTGCTTACCTTCTTTCCCTTCCTGCTTCCTGGGGCCTGGGCAGCTGGGTTGGGGGTAGCAAAGCAGGAAGAGGGGAGGAGAATAGAACCTTAGCTCCTCTACTTGGCATTCAAGGACCTTCACAGTCCAGCTCTTGCCTTCCTGCCCAGCCCAGCTCTGTCATCTCTGCACGTCCCTTTCAGTTCAGATGGTCCTGCCTAATAAGTCCCTAAACATGCCACAATCCCAAACTTCAACTGTCCTTGCTGTTTTTCTACCTAAAACACCCTCTCCCCTGAGGTCTACCAGGCAGGCAGCCCTCAGCTGATGTATGCTGCCAGCTCAGTGTTGGAAACGAAGCCAGACTCTGACTATGTCTCACTGTTACCACCTGGTCTAAGCCACCATCGCTTCTCACTGGATTATTGTGATAGCTTCAGGAGGCCCCCAGCTTCTTCCTTTGCCCTCTTTGGTCTGCTATCTACATGGCATCCCAAGGGATCCTGTTAATACACAAATGACATTATATCATCCTTAGCCCAGAACCCTCCACTGGCTTCTCAACTCATTCTGAGTAAAAGTCCACATCCTTACACTGGCCTCTCAGGTCGCCCTGCCTCTTAGCTCGGTAGTCCTGCCTCTGCTAACCTCATCCCCTGCCCCTTTCCTTCTTCTTCCTGCATTCCAGCCCCTTGGGTCTCTCTCTCTCTCTCTCTCTCTCTATATATATATATATATACGGAGTTTCTCTCTTATTCCCCAGGCTGGAGTGCAATGGCACAATCTCGGCTCACTGCAACCTCCACCTCCTGGGTTCAAGTGATTCTTCTGCCTTAGCCTCCTGAGTAACTGGGACTACAGGTGCACACCGCTATGCCCACCTAATTTTTTCTTTTTCTTTTTTTTTTTTTTTTTTTGTATTTTTAGTAGAGATAGGGTTTCATCATGTTGGCCTAGCTGGTCTCAAACTCCGGACCTCAGTTGATCCACCTGCCTTGGCCTCCCAAAGTGCTGGGATTACAGACGTGAACCACCGCACCCAGCCCTTGGGTCTCTTGATGCTCTTCAATGGTGCCAGGCCTCTGCACCCAGTGGCCTTTGCATTTGCTGTTCCATCTGCTGTGAATGCTCTTCCCCCAGATAACCACGTGACTCCCTCTCTCATTCCTTTAAGTCTTGGTTCAAATGTCAACCTCTCAGTGGGGTCTTTCCTGATCACCCTTTCTGAAATGTCCATACCCCCACTTCCAACACCAGACACCCCATTTTCCTCTGCACTTACCACTTCATTTACCATAGAGTTAATTATTTATCTTAGAGTTGTCTTTATCCTTCTAATCAGAATGTAAGCTCTGGGAGGACAGGAATTTTTGTTTTATTCACAACTGAATCCTCAGCACCTAGAACAGTGGCTGACACATAGTAGGTGCTCAGTTAGCATTTGTTGAATGAATGAATGAATGAATGAATGAATGAGTGAATGAATATTAATACAAATTCTGTCTCTTCCATAAAGCCCTTCCTACCCATGTGCTATCACTGCACCTTGAGCATCCCCATCATAACTATTCTGTGTTGCCATTGCTGGCTTGCCTGCCCACCTCCTCTCTCAGAGGAACTTAAGGGCAGAGAGGAAATAAAGCTTTTCACATTGTAGTGCTGGCCCTACCCAGTATTTGGCCCACAGTAGGTGCTCAGTTAATGGGTGTAGGAGGGAAACCTTCATAAGCACCCACTCTGGGAGAGTAGGTGTGTTTCTTAATTTCAGCACTCATACAAACTTAGAAGTTAGCAGTGAGAAATGCTATGAGTTGGCTCATGATTGTCTTGACCCTGTAAAGAACATTAATAAGAATAGTTCAGAACTGCTAAACAAGATCACTTTTATCTCTAGCCCAGATGGCTCCTATAGATCTGTTAATCTGATCTTACCATTGGAGGCCTCACAGACATACCCACTTCTATGTGTCCGAAACTGAACTCCTGGTTGCCTTCCATACCACAAGGAGCTCCCTTCCTGAGTTTTCTGCCTCAAGAAATAGCACCTTTCATCCATCCAGATGTTTATACCAGCAACATGGATTTTATATCTCCTAGTTGCTGATTCCTGGAGATTCTCCTTCCTAAATACCTCTCAAATAAATACTTTCCCACCCTCCACACGACCTTAGCTTGATCTCATCCAGCCTCATCTGGACTTTGGTGATACCAAGAGCATCCCATGTGCTTCCCTGACTCAGACCTCCTTTATACCATAGCCAGTGTTCTTTCTAAAATGCAAGTTTAATCATATTTCTTCACTGCCTTTGATCCTTAAGATGAAATGGAAGGAAAAAGGAGAACCTTGCATTAGCATCTACCACATGTTAGTCACTGGCTAATACTAGTTACTGTCACATTAACTATCTAATTCAGTTATCATAACAGAGAAGCAAACTGAGGCTTAAAAAAATAAATTTCCCAAAGTTATGCAGGTGACTGGGAAACTGTGGAGCCTAAATTCAAATCTAGACCTTTCTTACCCTAAAATCCATTTCCTTTCCAATGCACTCTCCTGTCTCCAAATCTTTTTGGCTCAGTGCTTTCTGCCTTGTGACTTCTCCTACATGCCATTACTATCTTATATTATTCCTCTTTTTTACCCTGTGATGAGCCATCTAGAGCTGTTTATCTTAGACATGCCTTGCACATTCATATTTCTCTGCTTATGACCATTTAGTTCCTTCTTCCCTGAAATGTCCTTCTCTTTCTTCTCTATCTAGTGAACTCCTGCTCATTCATCAAAACCCAGCTCTAATGACACTTCCTCTGTTAAGGCTTCTCGGATGGACTCATCCAAACAAAGTCATTTGCTGCTTTATCTATGTCCACAAACTGTGAATTGTACTCTTGGGAGACAGAAGGATGTATTGCAGGTAAAGCCCATGGTGAGTGCTAGGGGCTTGAAAACCAGACTACTCATGTGAGCTTCTTGTCTCTGTGCCCACAGCTGATGATGCCTGTGGTGGGACCCTGCGGGGCCAGAGTGGCATCATCTCCAGCCCCCACTTCCCCTCGGAGTACCATAACAATGCCGACTGCACATGGACCATCCTGGCTGAGCTGGGAGACACCATCGCCCTGGTCTTTATTGACTTCCAGCTGGAAGATGGTTATGACTTTCTGGAAGTCACTGGGACGGAAGGCTCCTCCCTCTGGTAAGCACAACATCCCTTCATTTCCTACCTATTCTCTGCAACTGCTGATTACTAGGATGCTTACAATCCCTCAGTTACTGATTTTCCCACAGCCAGAGCCTCACCAGCCTCTTCCAGCTATACCTCTGATACAGGTCTTCATCTTATCAATGAAAAAGCACTACATATTTTAGAGGCTGGGATATGTGCCTAGTGATTTCGACCATCTGATTTGAAACATGTTCTTGCTGAAGAATTTTATGATGGGTTGGTTAAAAATAGCACATTAACACTAAAATGTTAGGTCTCAGGATGTGGACAGGGTCTAGTAAAATGATTTGAAATATTGTTCCATTTCTGGAAGACATATGCATAGCATCCAAAAGGGACTAGACCCATAAGTGACCATTACCTTTAAGAGAATTACTTTAAGTCTTTGTTCTTCCCTCGGTCCTGAGACACATCAGCCTGGTCTTTATTGACTTCCAGCTGGAGGATGGTTATGACTCTGGAAGTCACTGGGGCGGAAGCTCCTCCTGAGTACACAACATCCCCTTCATTTTCTACCTACTTCTCTGCAACTGTGAATTACTGAATTAGTTGCAGTCTCCTCAGCGCGAGGAAAGGCATTATTGCCAACTGAAAGGCATGTCAGACATACAAGAAAGGCTAAAAATTGCAGGCTCTTCTGTAGTGTGTCCATGAAGTCTTATGTGGATGGTTATGACTTTCTGGAAGTCACTGGGACGGAAGGCTCCTCCCTCGGGTAAGCACAACATCCCCTTCATTTCCTACCCTATTCTCTGCAACTGTGAATTACTAGGATGCTTACAGTCTCCTCAGCGCGAGAGGAGAAAAGGCATTATTTCTCAACTGAGAAAGGCATGTCTCGGTGTCTGAAGGGCTAAAAAGTGCAGGCTCTTCTGTAGTGTGCTCCATGGAGAGTCTTGGTGGTTGATGGGTTAGGGGGAATATGAGTTATTGAAGATTTACAGCCATCGTGTCTTGTCTCCCAGACTTGGGCTTGCAGGATGTGCTCAAACTGAGCATGGCTTAAGGAAGTATCTGGCTTCCTGTTTGGGTGACGAGCATCACAAGTGGTGTTGTGGCATTTGGAACACTCTCTTGTATTGTCATTGTGGCTGTGTTATCAGGAGGACTTTTGTTAGAGCCAATAGAAGGATATGTCCAGGGGTACTTCAGGCAAGGATGGGGCATCATTGGAGCCTTAGTTGCTGCATGGTGTCAGCTGAAGGTGGGGATTCCACTTCCTGGCGTCAGGCGGGCGTCGCGGCGTTGGCTCCCAGGGGGTGCCTCGGTGGGAATAGCAGTTCTGGTGGAGGCCCTGGGTGCAGGGCTGGGCCAGGCCGGGGCTAGTGGGGCCACGCTCCAGGAGTGGATGGACGGAGGGGATAGGAGTGGGAGGAGGTGTCACTGAGGATTCTGAGCAGAGCAGAAAGTGGGTGTCTACAGGAGTCAAAGAAGACAGAGACGTGGCAGTCAGTGGGAGTAGGGAGGAGGAAGATGGTAGGGAGAGGAGGAAAGGAGGGGAATGGGGCACATTTATTGCACACTTTCCCTGTGCCAGGTTTCATGGTGGTAGGAACACCAGTTGAGTGAGACATGGTTTTTTAAGGAGCTCATTGTCTATTAGGTAAGAAAATCAGACAAACCATGGTAGGAGCCAAGTGTGACTATTAAATATTTAAGAGGGATAAAGGGGGAATGGATTCTTCCCAAATATAGGCTCAGATTTGGGAACTAGTGTAACCAGAAAACTCAAGTTTCCTGGTGCAGTGGAAGGTGAGCCAACATGGGATTCAGAAGACCCTGGTGTCACCGCTAGCTTGTCACAGGAAACTGGCCAGGTCATTTCCTACCCTGGTCAGAGGGCTGAGAGAAGCACAGGTAAACGAGGACAACCTGCTCTGTGGGGGTTGACAGTCTATAAACTAGTCCAAGAGCAAAAGCTGGTGATTTTAAGCTAGGAGTTGGGTTGAAGGTTTAGGTGAGTCTTCACTCAACTGGAATCCTGATGACCTGCCCAGTGTGAAGACCCTTGGACCTCTGCCTCTTTTTGTAAAATACTTGTTTACTGATTGTAAATGTAATGCATATGCTCCTTGTAGAAAACATGGAAAATCGACAAAGGTATGGAAAAATTTTAAATTATTAAAATTTTGATGTTCTCCCCCTTGACCTTTTTTCTTGGCCTAGGTCAAGCTAGCTGGCTATTTATATATATTTTAATATTACCAAATTAGGATCGAAAAATATCTGTAGTTATATATTTTTAGCTAATCATGGTGTCATGAAATTTTTTCCTGTACCATCACAGATGCCTCCAAAATATACAAGGTCTGATAGTAATATCATTTGTTGACCTGTTACTACCAATATGTGCCAGACAGGTTATAAGTTCTTTAGAGCTGTAATTTCATTTCATCTTTATAAAAATTCTATGAATAGGTAGCATAGTTTTCCTCCTTTTACAGAAGAGGAAAATGAGGCCCAGAGAGTTTATACTACCTGCTTGAGATCACACTGGTGAGTAAGGAGCAGAGCTGGGATTCAACCCTAGGTTAGTTTGATACTAAAGCCTGTCTTCCAAGCCATGACAGCATACTATTCTGCTATTAACATGCGATATCTGTCATGGGTTTTCCAGGCTATGTAGCATTCCCTTGCAAGTCTGTAGCATAGTTTACTCATCAGACCTCTTGTTAGGTGGTTCCCAGGTTTTCACTTCTATAAACAGGTGCCAAGATGAATATCCTTGCCAGTTCCCTCTCTTCCAGTCCAAAGACCTTTTCGACTCACTTGTTCATCCGCGGGCCAAATGGTCTCCTATAGCTTCTGCCCTCCAGGTGTGAGTCTACACATTGTCCAAACTTTTGGAGTGAAACAAATCTGAAAGAGTTCCTTATCCTATTAAGTCACTCAGTGAGGAAGGAATTAAGCAGAGGAAATTGTTAGGGGAGTCATTCAGAACTCTTTGCTATAAGATTAAATTATAATTATTTACAGGGTTGGTGTCACCACTGCCAGGCAGAATGCATTTGTTGTTCTAATTTATACTTGCATAGCAATTATGGATAAACAAACTTGGAGGCTCAGGACGTATGTGTGGGAAGAATCAGCTCTCTCCCTTGCCCCTCTCCTTTATGGATCCCTGGATTCCTGTAAAAGTTTGATGCTGCTGGTTTATGAGTATACCGCTTTTGTAAGCATACATTAAGATTTCAGGCTGTTGTCTTGCATTCTGTGCCAAGGCATATAAAAGCAACAGATCCTGTTAGCAAAGATGGATTTGGACAACTGGGTACCCCCTTTACCTATCAAGAAGACAGGAATTCCTTTGAGAGAAAAAACATCCACTACCTCCGTTACCAGATAACAGGTTCCCACTGATTCAGAAGGGCGAGTGGCATGCAATCTCCCTGACTCCATTTCCCTACTCTTCTCCTCCCCCTAAATGGGATAGCAACAGGAGAGTTTAAATTAGGGCTTCTGGACTAGTAGAATTTCCAAACAATTGGCGAAACATGGGATTGGTCATTTTTTTTTTTTGCCAAGTAAGGATGTTAGAAGAAAACCTGCCAGCTCCTCAGAATATTATTCATAAAACAAAGGACAATTCAAAGCCAAAACTGTGGCAGGAAGTAATCAATTGGAAGTGTTGTGCTGACATCATGAAAGATAAGGTGGGGGGAGCACACATAAATAACAGTGTGTGCCCATCACCGGAGTGTCCAACAGTATATATGCAGCAATCAGTGGACCAATTCTCCCTGTTTTGCTGGTCCCAGACCAGCCTTTGGGAATCCAACAATACATGTTTTGAACAGGAAAAAGCTGTTACTATGGTGAGCACTGGACCCTGTAGCTCTGACATATTGAGAGATTTGCTAGTATTTTAGACTTAACTCCCCCTAAAAGTTAATTGCATTTTCGTATGTGTGACCATGAGCAAAAGCTGGGCTTGGACTGACTGAGGGTTACAACCCACAGAGAAGAATTGGTATTACACCCTGACTACACATACATGTTTGCAACCCTCACCCCAACACACACACAAACACACACACACACACACACACACACACACACACACACAGGCAAATCATCTCTGACACATACCTTTCCAAGTCACTGCCAAATTCACATTACCAAGTCATCCCCTGCCCCCAGACCACCTTAAGCACATGTACACACCTGCCCCTCCTTACACACAGTTCCATTTCCAGTTCAATATAGGAGTCAGATTTTCTCTCACTGACCCTGCTGGAGGGTGGAGGTGGTGGTTCTTCCTTCTCTGCTCTGCTCTGCTCTGACCCAGTCACTTGGCTCTGACCATCATGGAGCTCCATTCCTTTCCATCATATTCTAAGGAAACACTCTCAGCTTTGCTAAGCTTCCTCCTGAGGCCCCAGGACTTTTTTGAAGGACTGGGACTGGCAATACAGAAGACCCTTTCAACAATATGGGGATGTAGGTCCCTGGAGGATATCAGGATCACGTTATACTGAGTACAAGTAGTCTCCAGCCCATCACAGAACTGGCCTCTCCATTGGTGGAGAAAATCAGCCAAGTGAAGACCCCTGAGAAGCCACTAGATCCAGAATCTGTCTCCTCCTTCCTCTGCCTCATACCCAACGCTCTCCATCTGAATCTCTCCAGAACCCTCCCCAGACTAAAAGAAAGGAGGGAAAGCCAGACATCCTCTCCTAGAATATGGGAGAGGAAGTTTGTGCAGTTTCTCTGGAATTAGATATCGAGCCTGCACCATGGCATCGAACTGGGAAGGGGGCAGGCTTGGGAGTCAGCAGATAGACTTGGGCTCAAAACCCGCTACCTCTCAGTAGTTGTGTCATCTGAGGATATTTACCAGCTTTTCTGAGTCTGTTTCCGCATCTGAAAAATGGGTCTCCGTATACCAACCTACAAAGCATCTTGAGAGTGCACAATGTGGCAACTGCTGCCTGGCTCACCATAGGTACAATACTCCTGGGATGAGGCTT